CTGTTGCCTGCGGAGGCGAGGGGCTAGAGAAGAGGGAGAGGGTGCCCGGTGGCTAGGGTTGAGCCCTCGGTCGGGGCACCACTATTCATCCTCATCGCGGACGTGCTCGGGGCCATGTTTTGTATGGCGGAGGAATGCCACATATTTTAGCCTCTCGACAAATTCTGCGTGTGGCACCGCCTCGTGGGCTTGGATTCCGTCAGCTGGCAGGGAGTCGGCGCCTGGGGGAGATCAACTCGGTGATCATCATCGGCCTTGGCTTGAGTTCATCTGGATCGAGTGAAACAAACGTGTCTTGGAAAACATTTGTTCTCACCCGTGTTGTGCAGGTGGTGGCCAGACTCGTGCAAAATTAGCGTTGTGGGTTCTAGCACGATGTTGATGCCGTGAGTTACATGGCAAATAGTTGGTTGGGGAGAGACCACGCCGGGCATATGACGGTCCAACATCGATTCTGCCAAGAACTTGACAGTGAGCTGTCAGTATGGTGCCTGGATGGATCCGTTGCCCTTGGTTTCCTTGGCCGTCTAGAATGGACATTGGAACATTGTGTTCCGACGCACTTTTGGGCAGGCAGAGACTGTAGAGTCGGCTAGATTGCGGGCTACCCTCCCGCCAATGCTATTAGATTATCCGGATACCGTGTCCTGGAGTATTTCCCCTTTCGAGGTATTCTCTATGAGCTCGGTCTATCGGGCTTTATGTCGTGCGCCCATTCTTCCATGGACTAAGCCTTTGTGGAAGGCCTCGTTGCTCCTAAAGATCAAGATTTTTGTGTGGCAACTGTTGTGAGACTGCCTGCCCTCTAGGACGGAGGTGCTTAAGCGGCACTGGCCGGGCAATGGCTTATGCCCCTTGTGTGGCGTCCCGAAGACCGGGTACCACATCCTGCTCTCGTGCACTGCAGCACGTGTCTCTAGAGTTTCGCCCGCGAGGCTCTGGGGCTTGATTGCGAGGCCCTAGACCTTGGGGAGTTTCTTGAAGCCGGGGCTAACCAGGCCGGGCGAAAATGCTGCCTATCCTATTCCTAGCTTATATTTGCAGCGATGTCATGGACTTTATGGACGACGCGTAATAAAATGGTGACTGAGCGGGTCTTTCAACGGCAGGCCTCTGACTAGTTCTTCTAATTCCTTGCTTTTTTGCAGCACTGGCACCCGCTCACTAGATAGCGGGACCACGTCTGTCTTGGGCTCATGCTGGATGCGCGCTGACTACCACGCGATGGCTCGCTTCTCCATAGTGCCAATATGCCTACTGCCACTAGGTGGCTTTTTTCTTATTTCTTTTATGCTTTCTTTGGGCATGATTTTGTTGTTGCCCTAGCCAGCCATACGTGTTGCTTTGTCACTATGTATTGGGATGTTTGCTTTATCTACAAAGCGGGGCGAGCCTATTTCGAGAAGAGCACAAGGTAGCCTGAGCTGAGCTGAATCCATTGCTAGCATATGGTGTCGGGGACGGTGGATGCCGCTGCCGGACCAAATGGACTACACGCCATATTTCATAGTCCTACTACAGTAGTACCCTGATTCTTGGAAGAGGATTTGTGACTCTCGAGTGCCACACAACCCTATATGAATATAGAATTAAAAGACATATTAGGAAAGAAGACAAAAAATTCGTATGCGTGGAAAATAACTAGATGTAACGTATGTCCAACCATAATTCCTGTGCCGCGGATACCACAGGCACCCATTCCCCACAAAAATGAACACAGGTGTACCATGGGCGCTCATGTTTCATATCCCAAAAATTTAGAATTTTTTGAAATTTCCTAATATTTTTTAATGCATTTTCATATAGGGGTGTGTGTACCCGGGTGCTCCAACGCATTTCCCCCTTATTCTTCTGCTACCTTGCTCGTCTAGCAGTAATACAATGGGTCTAAAGCTGCACTGATTTCTCTAGTAACATGATTCAAATTTTCTACTTAGGGCAACTCCAACCGATCCCCTATCCGGCGTTAGAGGAGGATAATTTCGGCTTTTCTCCTCTAACGTGCACCTAGCCGATCCCCATTAACCGTTAGCAGAGGATAAATTATACTCTGGCGCCTATCCCACCTCTATTTTTACTCCGCCGCTACCGCACAAAACATAACTCTTGGGCCTCTCCCTCACCACTACCTCTTCGCCGACCCCCGCTGCTATCGCGTTGCCTCCCTTGGCCCTTGCCGCCCATCTGCCCGAAACCAAGCCCGTTCGTCCACCGTCGCCGGAATCAGGTGAAACGCCACCGCCGTCGCCATAACCGATTCGTCGGATTGATTCGGTTTTTCTTCCTCTTTGGCGGGCGCCGCTCCAGGCCTTGATTCCGCGCCGCTGCAGGTCATTTTCACGCTTCGCCACCCACCGGTTTGTCCGAAATGACAGCGGCTGGCCAGTGCATCACCACCGCACCACAAGTGTTCGACGAATTGCCTAGGTGAGTTTTTTTGCTCGTTTCTTTTTTAACCGAGCCATAGCCGTTTGAATTGTAGATGAAGAGGTTGAGGGAGATGGTCTTCGAAGACTCGTCGTCATCCGAAGAGGAAGAAGACGACGAAGACTTTGAAACCCTTTTAGGCATGATTTTCAATGATGATATTCGGCGCCCTAGGAGAGGATCGCGGTTTGGCCGCATGCACATCAAACGTGATAGAGCAGAGGGTCATGCCAAGATCATGAGAGACTATTTTACTTCGAAGCCAACCTATCCAGGGAATTACTTTCGTCGGCACTTTTGGACGCACAGAAGTCTTTTTCTGACGATTGCAAAAGCCGTTGAGAAGTATGATGACTGGTTCAAGATCCGAAGAAATGCAAGTGGAGAGATGAGTGCAAATCCTCTAACGAAGTGTGTTGCGGTTGTTCGAGTCTTGGCATATGGGTGTTCAGCCGATGCCGTTGGCGACTATGTCCGCATTGCTGAAGACACAATCTCGGAGGCTGTTCGAAGGTTCACTAAAGCAGTGATCGATGTTTTTGGACCCGAGTACTTGAGAGCACCCACCGAGGAAGACACCCAGAGGCTGATGACCGAGAGTGAAGAAAGAGGATGGCCAGGGATGCTTGGATCACTTGACTGTATGCACTGGACATGGAAAATTTGTCCTGCAGAGTGGAAGGGTCAGTACAAAGGCCACTGCAACGATCCAACGATCATTCTTGAGGCAGTTGCATCGAAGGATCTTTGGATATGGCATTCATTCTTTGGTTTGTCTGGCTCTCACAATGACTTGAATGTGCTGTCAAGATCAGCACTGTTTTCTAGGCTTATTACAAGAGATGCTCCTGCTTGCAACTACTCGGTCAATGGGCACAACTACTCGATGAATTACTACCTTGCGGATAGCAACTATCCACCATGGGTTGCATTAGTCAAAATAATTCCGCGTCCAAAAGGTAACAAAAATATTCACTTTACCCAATGTCAAGAGGCTGCTAGGAAAGATGTGGAGAGAGCCTTAGGTGTGCTCCAGAAGCGCTTTGCAATTGTTCGTGGCCCTGCCAAGTACGGGAGCTTCAAGGTTCTATGGTAGATCATGACTTGTTGCATCATATTGCATAACATGATCATCGAAGACGAGAGGGAGATGCCTGAGAACTTTCGGTACATCACCAACGGGACTCCGATTGAACCAGAGTATGATCCAAATAGGATCCTGACATTCCTTGAAGAGCATCGCAAGATCGAGAACCGACAAGTTCATGCTCAGCTCCAAGATGATATTATTGAACATCACTGGCAATGTCATAGCGCTTCCTAGTTGTTCTGTCACATGTTATTTGCTACATTGGACCATTCGACGTGTTTAAATTTGAATAATTCGGTTTGTAAACTTTGCATTTGGTTTGTAAACTATATTCGTGATTTGGTTGAACATTCAGTTTCTATACGTGTGCTAATATGTAGTTGCAATGTATACTAGAATTGCATAAGTTTAGAAAAAACAAAAATTACTCCGTTATATATAGGGGATCGGTTAGGTCCTGCCAAAACTTAGTGGAGTAAAAATACTCCAGTAAGGGTTTACTCGGCCGGATCCTCCTTTATTAGGGTCGGTTAGAGTGCTATAGTTTACCTATCCCTTTCACGTGAGTACCTACCGTGTGGATTGAATGCAAAAGGGGGAATATCGCTTTCGAACTATCGCCTAACAATTACTCCTATAAGTCAACATAAACCGATGAGCTTAATAAACTGAAAATGAGGGGGCAGTAAGTAAATATAATTTTACAAGTTAAAAAACAGAAGGAAAAACTAGGAACACTAAATTCAATACCTCCTGGTATAGTGGCAGCAATCACACCTAGCTCGGCGAAAAACCATAGGCCGTACCTGACAGGCTTGGGGTATTCACTCATACACAGCTCCGCGAGGTGCCTTCCTAAAGTAGATTATGTGAAAATATATGCTAAGCTTCATACTAAATACAAAACAGTATAATTTTGCATCAAGAGCACATTGATTATCTCACCTGTAACGATGCCAAGCTTCGCTGCCAACGACTGTATAATCAACACAAAGATGAACCCTAATAAGAGTACCCATAATAACTGAAAGAAATTACAATGTTCAGGCCCCAGTTATTCCAGCACGACGGGTGAAATAGTTTTAACATTTTGGATAATTTATTTATACCTCATATCTGTGACTGTATCCAGCCTGCAAATCAGTTTGCACTGTTGGTTTTGCAAAGTTTAAACTGTCAGAATGCAATAAACAAACAATGGAAAGAAAATATACAGTAGTGTTTTCATATTGTTTAGTGGCGATGAATTACATCTGTTCATCATCTTTTTAGCAAGATAAGTTGGCATAAACATGAGAACATTTTAAAGTCCAATGGAGAGACGACGGAAGGAGACAAGGCTGGTTGGGCTTACAGTTGCTAGGATCCAGGTAAGCCATGGAGATGAGAAATCCTGGTCCAACGTATGCTAGAAATCTCTTCCACCTAGGCCCCTGCTCAATAGTACAAGTGAACGCAAAGTTTAGTTTATTTTGTGTACTGCATCACTAACGTCTAAATTCAATTCCACCTGAAACATTCGGCAGAGTTTCCATGTTGTTGATCGTTGCTTTATATATAGAACGGGGCGAAAGCCTTTTCGGTATAAAAAAAACTAACGACTCAAATTCGCAAAACCGAAGGCCTTCTGCCTATCGTCAAATGAGACTACACAAAAATGAATAAACTATCCGTCAGAGAACTAATTGATCACTAATTAGCGCGCCTCTGCCAGCAAGAAAAACATTACAAATCCAAAGGAATTATCCATCAGATAATAACTAAAGAAAATCACTAATTAGCCGTCAGAGAAACCGCATAGGGGAGCGATGAGGAGCGAACAGTACCTGGACGTGGACGCCGCCGGCCGCATCATCGCCTTGTTGCCCAGAAGAAGCGACCGTCGACGCTGCCGCTGCCTCCATCTCTATCACGTCGCCGTCGGCGATGGCCACGGCCCTCCCATTCCCGTCCTGCTGCTGCCCTCGGTCCCTTCCGATGCTTCCCCTCTCTTCCATTTCTCTTCTCGTCTTCTGGGATGCACTCCGTGTGCTAACATAGGCTTGACTTTGACTTTTCTCATCGAGGCTGGCTTTGTATCCATTCCAATCCCAGATGCAAGCTGCACTCAAGGTCAACTCTCCGTTTTGTTTACACAAAGATGTACATATATAATGCGATATGGATGAATTCGGTGGGCACGCATCTAAGATCAAGGTCGTCTCTCGGGCAGGCAGCTCCTCTAGTCTAGTATAATGCCGTGATCGCTGTTGTTTCGGACATGGAAAACGTTTAACTTAAACCGGATGATTTCTGGCGAAAGAAAACCGCCTCGCGCGCCGTCCGATCGGGATAGATCGAACGCTTCTGGTTGCGCGTGGGACGCGAGTGGACCAGGTCGTACCTGGGCTCCCACCTGAGCAATAATTGCAACATCCCGATCTCGCATCTGTGTCTGCTTCTCTCGGCCTTCTTCCCTTTCCTTCTCCGTGCGCGTCGGACGAGATTCAGACTGGATGCGACGATCTTCCCAGGTGCAAGGTGGGCAGGCGGCGGCGCCGAAGGTTGCAGGGAGGGAAGTCCCTCGCGCAGACCCAACAGAAGCGATGGACGGCGCTGCTCCTCCGGCGAAGTAAGCAATCGAAGCCCCTCCATTTTTCCTCTCCATAGTGTTGCATTAGGGTTCATAGAGGGGATTTTTGGAGGTTTTTTGGTTCTGGGGCATGATGGTGGTTGATTGAGCTCATGTGTCGTTGGATCTGTTGTGGGGGGAGGGGGTGGGAGGTGTGTGATTTGTGCGGTGAGGCTCGTCCGGATCTGCTGCGAGGGTGGGTTGATGGAGTGAGAGCTGATACATTTGCATCAGTAGGGGGCGGTGTTGGTGTTTCTTCGTGCTTCATAGGAAACATCAATATGGTTGATGGAGTTTGGGTGGGATGGATTTTGGAGGGTGTTTTTAGGTTTGGTGCTGCTGTCAGTGTGCCAAAGACAGGTGAGGGGGTGGGTTCAGGGGTGGTGCTACTGTCAAGAAATGGTGTAGCTTTTTGTAGTTATGATTCAATGCAGGAACATCACACTACATAGTAGTTTTAATTCTTTTCATGTATATACAACATCTAATTTAGCATGCTTTTTTTAGATCATGGTTCAGAGATCATTTCATAGGTTATGATAGTAGATGGATAGTAGGCTGTTATGCCAGGCATTTATTCAGAACATGCTTCCATGATGAAGATTGATAGGTTTGAGTTTTTTTGTTCGGTCATGAGATGCAGTGATGTGTGCAACTGATGCATTTTGGTGTGTGTTTGAGCAACTGAATGCAGTGTTGTGCATTTTTTGATGTTGTTGCTGATGTTCCATAGCAAATTTTGTTATCTAATGATTTTCTTTTTTTACTTTTTCCACAGCGATCCTCCAATGGATGATGAAGCACCTACTAATGGGTCTTTTGCTTCACGATTTTCTGCGTCTCGTTTACATTCGATTGGGAAAACGCTCTTGAAATCATGATGATAAGTGGGCAGTTATAAATGGGGGTTGTTTCGGTTCTCTGCTCAATATTGGATCTTTCTCCGTCCCAGCTGATTTCATGGATTGGTTGATCATGAAAATTGATCCTGAAAGGAGCATGTTCAGGTACACCCTTGTTTTTGTTTTCATGGTTTTTTGTTGGCAAGTGTGTTATTTTTGATTCAGCAACACCACAGTCTAAATTGTTTGAGCTAGCAACATCATAGTTTACTTTGTTTTCAGTGCAGCAGCATGAATACTCTACATTGTTTGAGCTAGCAAATTACGACATTTTCTGATTTGTTGTGTAATAGTTACATTTTTGTGTATTTTTTTCATCTTCAGTGCACACGACAGGATTTTGAGTAGTGTTTTTAGTTCTGTTGCTTCTGTAACTGAACTTTGTGTAATAGTGCAGCAGAGCCATATGGATCTTGCATTAGTTTAGTGCAGCAGAGCTTCTGTATGTCACTATTTTGCATTGGGTTGATCTCACAACTAATTTTTTTTGTTAAACTTCTTTGTTTATGTTTTTCAGTCATAAATTGAAGACTATACATTTTACAAGAGACATGGTGCCCAAAAATTTTAACATCCCATGCGGGAGCAGGCCAGTGGAGGTGCTGAAGAGGAACGAGCCACACGAGCTGCGCAACATTTACCGATCTGGGAGCAGGGCTCCAATCAACCGTTGCATCAATGTGCTTTGTGAGGCGAGCAACAACGATGTTGTTACCATTCAGAGGTCTTGGGTTTTACTTTCACTTGGTCTTGTGCTAACCCCTGGCACTGAGAATGTGATACCGATAGAGTACCTTCCTAGCTTGATGGATATCGATAAGTTGAATGAGTTTGCTTGGGATGAGCATGTATTGGGTGTTGCTATGAGAGAGGTGAAGAAGTACCAACAAAAGAGGAAGTCTGGACTAGGTGGGTTCTGGATTGGAGGGTGTCTACCAATGTTTGCGGTATGCCCATTTTTACTTTTTACACTTTATTTTTTGTTGTGAAAGTTCATTTTTATCTTCTTCTTTTTTTGATGTGTTCCCCATATCTGACTTTTGCATTTAGGCCATGTACAATAGTATTTTCAGCTCCTTTCTTTCTTGATGCTTCAAAATCATCAATAATGCAGGTAATATACATGGACTTCTTGGACATTCCTAGGACTCTGGCTGGTGTGCACACATTCAACTGGACTCTTCCTAGGGCGTGCTTTGTCAGCACTGATGACTTCAAAATCGTTGCAGAACTTGATAGAAACAAGCTTTCCCTCCACAAGGTTGAATTTGGGAAACGCAATGTAAGATGACATCCATCTTTTCTTGGTTACACATGTTTCAATCCTTTCTTTGTTTACGCCCTGTTATTTCCATGATTCAATCTTTTCTTGGTTGTTTGCAGCTTCACCTTTTGTCAAACACCCCATATGCAACAAAGGGATCCCACATCAATGTTGATTGTCAGAAGCAACCGCATGGGTCAGCAGCTCCTCCCCCCGATGCAACAAGAGCACACAACACGGACGATAATGACTTAGGCGGCGATGTATGCGGCTCACTAGATGAGTGGCTGCACCCACTGCCTTCAAGTGCAGACTTGGAGGTGCATATTTCCCACTCATCATCACTTCTTTTCGGTCCATTTCTTTTTCTTCTTGTTTCCAGGACCTCATTGTGTTTTATGCTTTGGAGCAGATCCCGGAGCATATGCAACAAATATATGAGAAGCACAAGAATCTGCATGAAGTGGAGTTGAAGAGCACTCTGAATTCTGTTGGGAAGGTTTTTTAGTCATTGTTCTGTAAGAGGGTGGGGGAGCTTTTGGTTGAAGTTCATTCGAGCAAGTCAAGGAGGAAGGAGGATAAGGGCGGAGGAGATGTAACATTCGTTGCAGGTGGAAGCAACGCAGCATCCGCGCCTAATACCAGCGCCTCAGCTCAACAACCTGAAGTGGAAAGGCAAGTGTCAGCTGGCCCCAGGACTCCTAGCTTCGAAGGTGCTGGTGATACCGTGTTGAAACAAGGGCAGAGTTGCGCTCAAGTCGGCAAGGGGCCTTTAGACTTGGGAAAGGAGGTTGAACAGGAGGTTTCACAGCAGGATGTTTCAATAGAGGTCGATGCAGAAGCAAGTCCACGTGTCAACCATGGCAAGGATGCTGAGGGCGTTGCTGCCAATGATGGCACGATTATCCTATCACAGGGCACACTGAAAGCAATGGAAGCCGCTGCAATGGAATGGGATGATGGCCCATCGTGTGACCTTTTTCCAGTTGGGAGCGAAGACTACGAGTGGTTTCACCAGGAAGTGCCACCTAAATCTTCAAAGATCCCATATGTAGTTGCCACTCCCTCTGCTGCGATGCACTCGGATTCAGCGGGGCCTACATTTGACAAAACGCCAGAGGCAGCTAGGGCTAATGTGAATAAGATTGCACATCCAATTGCAACAGACATCTCTTCTTCTCTTTTTGACAGCGATCCAAAAGTTTCCACCTCAAATGAGATCAACAAGCCTATCTTTGATGCATCTCCTGTTGTCACCACAGCAACTGTTGGGTCTTTAGGTGTGTTTTACATGCTATTTCTTCCTTTTTTTTGTTATTTCTTCGGTTCGAAGCTTCATATCTAACCTTTATTTTTCTTTTTTGTTATGTGTCTTGATGCAAGGTAATTCAACTATCTCTGGATTTGGAACACCAAATGTTGATTCCAGCAGTGGGCCAAGTTGTGCTTCGAAGAAGGCTGTCAAGAAGAAGAAAGGGGCTGCCCAGTCACCTGATGGGGTTCTGAAGATGAAGAAGATCAAGATTGATGCAACCGGGGACTCTTTACATCAGCAGTATGTTATGAACAGATACAAGTTAAGGAAACCAAAGGAAGGCGAATCTCTGTGAGTGTTTTGGCTTTTTCTTTTTTCTTTTTTTCATAACATGCTCATGAAGATTTCATAGTTGTTTATGTTTCTAATTCAAACTATATTTTTTGGTTTGATGTGAAAACTTCTCTCTCCATCATATACTGTAGCTAATGCATCACTTTTTATGTATTGAATATGCAGCCTTGCTTTCATTGAAATAGATGGCTTCCACACCTCCCTTCAGAATTTCCATGCCTCGCTAAAGCCACGAGCCGAGATTGACAATGAGGTCATGACTCTCTACCTCAAAACTTTCAACATAGAGCAAATTTGCAGCAGGAAGAAGCTGAAGAAGTTTGCATTCTCAGTTTTTATGAGTGTTAGTGGACATATTCCATAGCATCTTCTCAATTTTCATATATCATTTCTTTTTGCATCATCATTTTTACTTTCTTTTTCCATTATTGTTTCTGGGTTTTCAGGGTCAACTGGCTGCTGAGCCTGAAGTTTTTGATCCTAAACTGTGTGAAAGGGAGTTTAGGATGGCCTATGAGAGCAGCAACATATCAAGTTGCGATCTAGTATGATATTTCTTTTCTTTGTTTAGTTTACATGTTGTTATTTCATTTCTTTTTGTCGCAGATTTTTTGTAACCTCACAGTTGTTCCATTTGCAGCTTTTCTTTATAGTTGTCCAGAAGAGGCACTGGGCTGTAGTTGTTGCAAACTTGGCAATGAAGCAATTCAACATTTTCAACCCAATAAAGAACAACAAAGATGTGCAACTGCTACACAAGGCAACCAGCAATATGGTAAGGAATTATATGCTCATGTTGTTTTATCAACAATGTCCCCCTCCCCCCTGGAATACTTATGGATCATTTTTGTGTGTCATGTGATCATTTTAAATCAGATCACGAACCTAAACAGAGTGGCAAGGAGTGAACCAGCATTCAAACATGATCTCGATTTGTTTGAGGAGTTTAATCCACAGCAAGGAACTTAGTAAGGAAACATTTTCTTCATTTTTGTATCTCAAAGTTTCGATTTATGTTGCACAAACAGTAGGATACTCAAACATTGTTTTCATTGTACTTTTTTGTCGCTCCAGCTATGATTGCAGATTTTTTGCTATTCTGTACTTGGAGAACTTCGATGGTGTGGTCATGGCATCATTTGATCAGGTGAGCCGCTATGCGAATGAAAAATGCACCTCCACCCTGTTAGTTGGATTTTTTTTGTCGGTGTCATCATTTTGACCCTCTTTTGTTTCATTTTTTTGTAACAGGAATACATTCCAAAGCTGCGGATGAGGATTGCATCAGATCTGTTGAGGCACCCTGACAACAAGTTGGACCCTGCGGAGCAGCTGAAGAAGATGCTGCATCAAAAGGGTGGTCGTTCTTGAGACGCAAGATTAGCAAGGTGGTCTTGGGAGAGCTAGAGTGGCGTGCTCGTAGTGGCTAGTAGTTTCTTTTTTCTTAAGTCCTTAGTGAGATTTTTAGCGAAACACTTCTGTCGAAATGTTTTTGGAGCAAGAGTGCCACTGTAACTCGATGTGTTTCAGATCTACAAGGAGAGATGATGTTTTCATACATGCAAAGATATTTTTTTTAATCGCAACACCCGCCCCCGTGATTGTTCTCTGTTTTTTATAAAGCAACCAACATCAAAGAGATGATGTTTTCATGTTTCATTTTTCCCACTTCATCTTTTTGAATAGTGAAATGCAGCAACCAGTATCATGACTGGATGATTTTCATCCTTCATGTTTTTCACACTTTCTTCTTTCTCACTAACGAAACGCACACTAGAAGTGAAAACGGAATCGGAATGCATAGCAAGTGCAATCAGCACAAAAACTAATCGTGAATCGAAGTAACTTTTATTTGAATGTTGCTTTCATTTTCAAATACTGAAATTACTCTCCAATTAAATTGCAACTGGATGTGTCAACACCAATACATACAAGACACCCAATAAAGCTTCAGATTTTTCTTAGCACCTAACATATTTTTGCTTGCATTACGTTGCTCAATACAACATTTGGGTACAGAATCTCAAAACATGTGTCTTTTTTCCCAATCTCAAAACATGTGTCTTTTCTACATCACAGCCTAAGTTCTGTTGCTTTAGCCATATCTTCATCTCTCGACATTGCAGCTTTTAGGTAGGAGCACTCCTGAACATCATGGCCATCTTCGTTGCAATATCTACATTTCTTGATAGACATTACTGCTTTCAAGTACTTGCATTCTTGTATGGCATGACCATCTTCATCGCAATACTTGCAAAGCATTTTCTTCTTTGGTCCAGGATTTGCCCTTGGTTTGGCTTCCTTCTTCTTTTCCTCTTTCTTCTCCTCTTGTCTAGCCTTCTTCTTGTGTGCATCCTCTCATTGCTCAAGTAGAGTCTTCCTCCTCCTCTCCTTTTCAGTTGGTCGACCTTTTTCGGAACACGTGCTGGGTTTTGAAGCATGGCGCCCGGTTGTGCAGCAGGCGGATCAGCCGTTTGTTCATGTCGTGGAGCCGGGTTGGTGGCTTGACCTTGTTGCTTTGTTGGATTGGCTTTTTGTCGCTGCCGACTTGGCACCTTTTGAGTTTCTGCTGGTTGCTGCGGCATTTGCTGTTGATGTTCTTCCTGCTGCTCTGGTAGTTCCCCTCTTTTTGCTGCATCTATAACAGGCTCAAGCTGATTTGCTGCATCATTTAGCAGGTTGTATGCAAAGTCATTGCTGCAAGCTTGTGAGGCCAACCAAGTAAGTTTCCTGCAGAGTGAGTTGTACTTGAGGGTATTGTTCGATGGGAGTCCAAAATCCAGAAGCTGGTTGCCTGTTGGTGTTGTTGCTTTTTCAGACCACCTCTCTAGCAAATAGCGTTGTGGGATAGTCTGCACATTTAGACGAGTCATCACTCTAATGATGTGTGCACATATAATTCCATTCATCTCAAAACAACTGCAACTGCACTCAAACTTCTCATTTGACATCTCAGCATTTACTTTAAATATTTTTGGGTCCTCATAGTAATTTAAGAAAAGTTCAAAGTTCATGCTTCCACTGTGAATTGCAGGGACCTGGTTGATTACATATCCCGTCGATGCAATCACTTCTGATTGAAACTTGCCAAAAACTGCCCGGGTGTAGAAGTTCACTACCTGACGCTCAATGTTGTATCTCGAGTAAAGAGGTGTTGTTGTTGCTTCACCAATGAAAGCCTGGTTGTCCTCACAATCTAGCATTGTCTCCTGGAGCACCTCATACTGCTGCACAAATTTCCAAACCGACTGTTGAGGATTGATGAATGTCTTGAAGTAAGAGTTGAGGCCTCCGACCTCCCTGTAGTGCTTGTGAAGGGGAAGAAGCATTTCCGGATGTATGTTGGAGCCCAGGTATGCCGAGTCCGCCACATGTTGCAAAGGTGTCTATTATCTTCCAATTCAAAGCAATGTATCATGTGCTGCCAGTTCTCCTCAAACTCATCAACCGTGTCCGGATCGTTGATGCATGTGTAGAAAGCTTGTTCAAAAACTTCATCCCTGCTGAGTATTCTACCCAACTTCTCCCTCGCTTTCCGCTGGACATGCCATTTGCAACATCTATGCACTGTATTTGGTAAGGCTTCAGAAATGGCTGTATCCATTGCCTTGTCCTGGTCTGTCATGATGTTCAATGGGTGTTCATTGTTCATCACAATCAAAAAATGCTGGAACACCCACTTGAAAGTTTCAATCTGTTCATTCGGAAGCAAAGCACACCCTAGCAAAATTGTTTGCAAATGGTTGTTGACACCGACAATCGGAGCAAACGACATGTTATACCTATTTGTGCAAAAGGTGGTGTCAAAGAAGATGCAATCTTTGTACTTAGGGTACAATGCCCTTGTCCTCCCATCAACCCAAAACAGCCCCATGACAGAGTTTGTTTCCTCATCAAATGTTTTTGCAAAGTAGAATTCAGGATTCTCATCTTGCCGCCTCTCAAAGTATGCAACTGTCATGTCCATGTCCCGGAGATTTATGGTTTGCCGCAGCTTGGACCGAACATTTGTAACATCCCTATTGACATATGGCAGTATCCTCCGGTCCCCACCACGAACCCTCCCAAGCATTCCCATGCATTATGATGTGGAGAAGTTAACATCATGCATTGTCAATATGAGATCCAAATCTTCTTGCAGAATGTTGCGGTGTGAGCGGTAGAACCGTACACGCTCTGGCTGTGGCATCAGAGGGTGTGTATGCTCTGCAAAAAAATATGAAACAACCCATTTATCACCCCTCAGCCCAACTATTATGTGTGCTTTGCAATCATGATGCACCAATCTATTTTTCTGACGCTTGTTTGCGACATCCATTTCAAACCAAGACTCTTTGCTAGATGAGTGTTGTTCCGTTGAGATTGCTTCCGAAGCACTGCTAGTATCGGCCTTATTCTCTGGCTTCCCGGCATGGACTGTAACACCCCGGATATGATTTTCCTAATATGTAATCCAACTCTTGCCGTTTCCGGCGTTAAGTTATTTTATTTTCTCGGGTTCGGGTTTTTGTCTCCGTGTGTTGTTGTCTTTGTCATGCATCTCATATCATGTCATCATGTGCATTGCATTTGCATACGTGTTCATCTCATGCATTCGAGCATTTTCCCCGTTGTCCGTTTTGCATTCCGGTGCTCCGTTCTCCTCCGGTGGTCATTTCTACATTTTCTTTCGTGTGTGGGGATTAAACATTTCCGGATTGGACCGAGACTTGCCAAGCGGCCTTGGTTTACTACCGGTAGACCGCCTGTCAAGTTTCGTACCATTTGGACTTCGTTTGATGCTCCAACGGTTAACCGAGGGACCGAAAAGGCCTCGTGTGTGTTGCAGCCCAACACCTCACCAAGTTGGCCCAAAACCCACCAAAACCTTCTCCATCATCTAGAGCGTTCGATCACGATCGCGTGGCCGAAAACCACACCTCATTTGGACTCTCCTAGCTCCTCCTATGCCTATATATAGACCCCCTCCTCAAAATTCGCGGATCCCCTCGCCCGAAACCCTAGATCCACCCTCTCCGCGCGGCCGGACACGTCCGCCGCGACCACCCACGGGCCGCCACGTGTCGCCGCCGCCTCCACCAACTGCGCCGGCCCGGAGAGCCCGCGCGCGGCCCTCCCGGCCCGGGTTGCTCCCGCCGCCGCCCGGGGCTTTCCTCCTTCCTCCTGGCGCCGCCTCGCTGCCGCACTCGCCAGTCGGCGCCGCGGGTCGCCGTCGTGCCGCCGCAAGCTCACGCCACCGGCCCCTCGCTCCGGACGTCGCCCCGCCGCCCCGGTCGCCGAGCCCGCTCCGGCGAGCTCCGTCCGGCGGGTCGCCTCCTCATTGCCTGGATCCGGCCGCCCCGACGTCTCCGGCGAGCTCGTCCACTCCGGCAAACAGGAACTCCGACGATCCTCGGGATCCGTGCCGGCTGGATCTAGATCCAGATCTCAGGGTTGACTTTTTGCCCGAAACCCTAATATTTTGCCCTTGTTCATCGCATCGTAACTCCGCATCCATACCTCCGTTTTGGGCATATAGCATATCAAAATGTTCGCCTCAGAGAGCACATCATTTCATCTCATTGCATCATTTTCATTTGTGTTCATCTTGATGCCCGAAATGCTGTTGGAAGAGTGATATTTGAGATAATTGTCAGATCTGCTGCTCCAATTAGATATTTGTCATTTTTGCCATGATTATTGTGTGCATGATATGCCCCTGAGCTCTACATGCGTTTTGTTATATGTTTTGCCATCTATCCAAAGGTGTAACCCATGTATTTTTGTGATGTGTGTGGTGACTAGCACAACCTTGCAAAGTGGTACATTCGTTAATGCTGATTTCAGGGGCTTAGCAATTCCACTAAGTCCTTGGACTGTTTATCTCATTATGCCATATGTTCATGTTGTTTCCTAGTGATCCGTGCCTCTTTTGAGGATGATCAGTAAGGATGTTTTGCTAATCTTGTACTGCTCTATCCATCCATGTATTTGTTTGCAATTATGAAGCACCCTAGCTTGAGTCAATCGAGCTCTACTTTTGCTATTTCGTGAACCTGGGCAAATTGTCTACTTGTTAGCGATTTTGCCAAGGATGTTGTAGTTGATCCGTGCATGCTATGTTATTGTTCTTGTCATGTCTAGCTTGTATAATGTGTATTCTTGATGGGTGTATGCTTAGATTGTCATGACTTGCTCTGTAGTGAGTGCATCGAGCTGGTAAACATGCCTACTTGATATCTGATTTGCATGCTCCAGTTTTTCACCAAGTCTGAGAACTGATTATGTTTTTGCCATGTTCACATGCTTGCAAATGTATTTTCCGATCCCTTTTGGCTCAAGGTCACTAAGGTACTTTTGTTAAGCTCTTTGAGTATCTCCATGTCAGGCTT